AGCTTAAATAATCAGACGATAAGTTTAAAAAACAGAATCCATTTATTATTATTCAGGAGAAATAGCAGTTACAATCAGATATCCGGAGTAAATAAAAAGAATTACTAATAACTTTCTGTATGAAGTTTACTGCATCGTGACATTTAAGAAAAAGCTCCCGATATTCCTTTGCGAGTCCTTTTATAGCCTCTGGAAAGGCGGAGCTTCCAATAAATGACGTCAGCCTCGTCAGCCATTCCAGTTCGTTTTAACTATCTCCAGAACATTCTAAAACTGTACGTGTAGAAAAGGCGGGAAAAACAACTTGACTACGGGGCTGTGGATTTAATTCCACGTACTTTCAAATAAGAGAACGTCGCCATTAAAAATGAAAAGAACATACAGTTAGAATTTTAATTGTATTCTTGACTATGGAATTTTATTATTACATATATATATATTTAAGATCATACAACATTATATATATATAAAATTAAGTCAATTCCTACTTTATATTTTAAACATATATTATCATCAAAACAAACATTATTATTACCTATTTTATACATACATAATTATCACGTTAACATAAAAATACGGGGAGAATTTTCGCTACATAATGGGACATTTCATCGGCTTCATCCATCTATAAAACTACAATTCTTAAATTCCATACACTTTACAAATCTTTTAGAACTCTGTCTTACTGTTGCCACTTATTTTTGTCAAATATTACAATCCCATTAATCACAATCATGTACTATTATTTATAAGTTGTTATAAAATTAATTTTTACAGCAAGTGAGAATTCCTAATAAACGGTCATTATTTATAAGTCTTATAATATATTTAAACAAACAGCATATCTTTAGCTTCGATAAACAGAAATTGACTTTAATATTTGAAAAAACTGTATTAACATCCAGTGTCATCCACTACAAGTTTTAAAAATTATATTTGAACTTGAGTGGATGAATAAAAAGTATTTTATTAACGACTGAAAATTTGAACAAGATATAAGATAGAATGTGAGCTACTAGTAGGAATTTAAAACTGAAACGAGAAATGAGTATCAAGGCCTTACACTCGTATCCCTATTAAATCTGCTGACGCATCACTTAAGGATATTTGCGCTTAACGTCCACTGCAATCTCCATTGGACTTTGGAAAGCATTTCTAAAGGAATGGGATAAAATACCTCTTCCGATATTAGAAAAGACTTTATCTTAAAGATTACGGTGTAGAAAGGTAATGAAGAATAAGGGTTATGAAACAGAGTATTTAAAACACAATTTTTTTAATATGTATTTCTGTAAATACAGTAAGAATCGTTTAAAATGTGTAAATGGCTTTTGTAGCATTAATTTTGTTGGCTGCTTGAATTTAAATGGAGTGGAATACTTAAACTGGTAGTAAAAAATCAATAACTAACGATTTTTTTGTTGTTACCTTTGCAGGAAAAATACCGGTTGCGTAGTGTATTTTTGCCACCCGATGCCTGTTTCCCAATATAACCTACCACCGAGAATTCGCTTGTTAAATACATATCGGTAATACTGCGAAACTCCATTAGTTAAGTGCTGAGGCGCCAGACACGGTCGGCTGTGTCCAGTTCCAAACCGCATCGTTGAGTAGCGTACCAAGGTATGATCAGCCGCGATTAATTAAAGAGCTCGCAAATTACATTTCTGCAAATTGGTTATACCAATTTTATCTATTTTTGGGAAGCTAAATAATCTGCTCAGAGGAGTTTGCAGACAAGAACATTTTTAAAAGATAAAAGATACGATAAATGATGGATTAAAGTTACGCGCAAGCGCATTACTTTTGTAAAACGAATTTATAAATATACTAAATAATTTATAAGTATACAATATTTATACATAAAAGTTTATCAGTCGATGCTCGTTTTGCCTGAACTATGATTTAGGCTAAAAGGGCATAAATCATAACGGGCTGTTAATCTCGAAACGAGATTATCATTTTAAACGTCTGGATCACTTTTCAAATTGTTGCCACCAAATGCTATCGTCCTGTATAACATTAATGAAGAAGCTGCACGATTGTACGCATTTTTCTCGCACTGTGAGAAACGATGGTACCTAGGGCCATCCAATTCTGAATAACGTAGGCCTCCACCCGAACATAAGCACCCGGAAGCCCGAATTTTATATTTTATGTTTTGGTAAAATTTTAATGAATTTTTAATAACAGGTTCAACGATTTGAAAGCGAGCAATAGCAACACTGTATTGAATAAAATATTTTTTTTTTTATTTCCATCGCGCGAGACTGTTTATCGGAAAAGCCCACCTGTGGCCGAGCGGTGAAATCGTTGAACACTGGTAGTTCGATCCGAAGTTTGAAACCTGGGAACGGGCTGGCTGCGTGGGCGTTTTCGCGGTTTTTTCTCATGTGTAACGTATATACGAGCCAGTTCCCCTTAGAAAGTGCGCCATGAAAGCATTTGCAGAACAGATAGCATTTGCAGAACAGAACCCCTTAGAACAGATAGCTCTCGGGGCTTTGCCATAATTACATAAAAGCAAACTATCTATCGGAAATTCTAAAGCTATGCTCTTTTTAAATTATTTTGCGATATTATTGTTAAACTGAAATTTATGGTTTAAGTGCGAAGAACATGATATTTAATAAATAAAGGTAAAGCACAACGTTAAAAAAAAAGTTGGACATAATTTAAAATCTGAAAACTTTCGGTTTTTTTAAATACATAACTTTTGGAGGCATATAAATACCTGCAATGCTGATGTATATAAAAAACTCTGAAATTGTTGCATGGAAGCCTGATGTTGAGCAATACTTTTTTTTTGTCAATAATTGTTGCCATTTTTGAACGTCAAAATATTAAAAAGTTCTTTGCTCATTCTGTAGAGTTGCAATGTTCTCGCCGAGACTCGAACCACGGATCTCTCGAATACGAGTCGAGCGTGCTGACAACTACCACAAAGGCATGCTAAGAAGGCGGAAGAAATACCTTATAATTCTGTAAATTTTAAAATATAGTAGATTCGCTTTTTTTACTAACTAAGCATTTGTACAAACTATCGGGTTGTCCCTGAAAACGCATATTTCTTCTACTGCCAGTTCCATATACAAACTTTCAGTTTAATGAAATTTTGCTGTGTTTTATACTAGTTCGACAAATCGACAATGTTTTTTTTTTTTTTTTTTTTAGTACTAAGGGGTAAACAATGTGGCAGCATAGCTTGGGGGGTCCGAGGCGAAAGTCAGGCGCCAAATTTATGTTCCCTACTGCATTTTGGCAAACAAGAAGGAACACGAAATTTTAAGTTGTCCCCGGCATTGAAAACCAAGGTTACGCCCCTAAAACAACGTGCTATTTCATTAGCCGCCCCTCCGGTTTAGTTTAGTTTAGTTTACGAGTATGCTACAACCCTCCTGGCCGACAGTAATCGGCCTCATGGTTAACGCAGCACACCCGACGCAGAAAAACAATAACAAAATAATAATAATAATAAAATAAACAAATAAATAAAAGATTAAAGCCGCCCCTCCGGTATAGTAATTAGCCTCGCTGACTACCGTTCCGAAGGACCCGGGTTCGAATCCCGGAGAAGGCATGGATGTTTGTAAATGTATAGTGTCCGTGCGGCATGGGGGCACTCTAAATACGCGGCGAGCCGAAAACCCTCTCTAGAGATTGCTGGTAGGGGAAAAGAGGGATGGGAGAACCTCGGGCTCGCCCCCCCCGGGGTTCTCTCCTTTAAAACTGGAGGCAGAACTGTCACCTGTAAGGTGCTCAATGTTGTTTGTAACGCAACGACATGGAATTTCGGGAGGCTTGGGCTGACTAAAGGTCAGACAAGTGAGCATTAGTCATTATCAACTATTTCAGTTTGAAAATTGCACTGAAGATTGGTTTTAACTCGTCGAATTCAAACGCAATCTTTTTTATTTCTTGTTTTCGTCTGTGATTGAAAAAAATGTGTCAACAGTTTTAAACAATACTGCAGAGAAAATTTTCGTAAGTAATTGTGATTATAGTTGGGTACCAAATTATTTATTTTATAATTTTAATACTGAGAATATTTAGAAGAGGAAGCTGAAATACAGGAACAGGATGTACAAGGGAGGTTGTGATAGATTGTATTTAAACACCGTTTATTTCTAATACTTAATAGCAATATTTAAATTTAATAACGTCTAAAGCATTATTAAAATTTTTCACTTTTCAAGACGGAAGGTAAACCTGTTATGAAATGAAATGAATATGTATGAAATTTTTATATAATTTTTAATTTTTGTTTATGTATGAAATTTTTTTAGTATGAGAATCATCATAAGTGATGTAGTTTAGAATTTTTTGGTCAAGAAATGACACTTCACGCTCAGCTGCTTCATGCTACTCCTTCTCACTTTTGTCTATATTTGGTCAGCCGTATGACCTCATTTTGCTCAGTGTGACACAATATCGTGGGATTTGATGGGTCCTAAAACAAATTAATTTAAAAATAATTTTCTTGGTGCAGATATTTGTAGATATTTGAACCATTTTATGAAAGATATGGGTGTTGTTTTCTAAACATGGAGCGTTCAAATAATAAATAAATTTTTCGTAATAATTACATATTTTTGTTGCCCTAAAATGTTGTAATAAATAAATTTTTCGTAATAATTACATATTTTTGTTGCCCTAAAATGTTATAATGCATGTGGTATAATTTTACTTGTTATTGGGCAATAAACATTTTTTCTCAAAATTCGGACAAGAATTCTTGCCGAAAATTTCGTACTTAAACAATGAGGGAGTAAAGAAAATAAAGTTTGATTTCTTAGGTAATATAATGGAAGTATTTTAGTTAAGATGATTTATATTGCATATACTTTTTTTCGAAGGATAAATATTATTAACCTTCAAACCCTGACTGTATTTTCATATAGAACCATTTAATTTTGTATACATGCCCATATTATCTATGTAACTAACAGAATACTGAAGCAAGTGGGCCTCATTCATGAAGAAAGTGCTTTTTCTTTTAGGCGCTGTACAATGCCGTGGGACACGTAGTTCTTTGAAAACATTTGTTTACGTCTCCCCGAGATGACGCCCACTCCTGGCCCTATCCCGGGCACCGTAGGCCAAGTGACTGCGGAGCTCCAAGATTCCAGCTACCTGATGGGTCCCAGGAAAAGCATGACTGTTAGCACGAAGGGCCTACTGAACATGCCCGGCCAAAATAATTGCTTCCTAAACAGTGCTGTGCAGGTGAGTTTTCTCGTCTCTTCTGTTGTCAAAATTAAGTACGAAATAAAATGGGGGAGGGGGTAAGTTTCATATTTCAAGTTCTACTAGACCGATTGACGAACTTGGCGTTTTTCATATCTAAAAAGCGCGACTTGGGATATATATTAGATTTATATACAGCATTCGTATTTTGACACAAAATCGCACTTTTTTTTTTGAATAACATGCTAACTTTTTCCCTAATTTCCATTCTACGACTCAAATTATGCCTAGATATTAAATTTTTTTAAATTTGGTGCGAAATTTAAGGAGAAATTCAAAAATTTATCTTGGCTCATTTTTTTTCAGTTTACGCCAAGAATAATTAATTCACTAGGAGAACTGCTTAATTTATAGCAACCTATTTTTAGTCCAAAGGGGCTTTGTCCCTGAAGGTATATTGTTTCCGTTTTGCGTTGAATCACTATAAATGTCCGTTTCACTTTTCAAACTGCTGCCACCAAATGTTAGAGTCCTGCATGATATTTGAAGAAATTAAATAATGAAAAATCTTCATAAATGTATGTATATTTCTCGCATTGTGATATAAAACTACGGTACCTAGAGCCGTCGAATTTTGAATAACGTAATCCTACTGCGAATATGGACATGCGGAAGTTCAAATTTGAATTTTTTACTTCCTTGTACGAAGTAAAAAGGAAGTATTGTAATCGCGAAAAGTTTCAGGCAGCATATTTCAACGAAAATATCCATTTTGACCGCTATCGAATGCAATTTAACGATGTTTTTGCGTCATATCTGTACGTAAGGACAGAATAAAGTACTCTTTTCCTTCAAAAAAATTATAAAACTGCTTTAAAATTAATTCTGAAGAGAATTTTTCGTGGCGTCTGTACGAACGTATGTACGTACGTATCTCGCATAACTCAAAAACGAGTAGCCTCAGAACGTTGAAATTTTGTGTATAGGACTGCTATAACATGTAGATGTGCACCTCGTATTTTGGTTGCAATCGGCAGCAGCAAACGTATATAAATATATTTATATATATATCCACTCTGTTACCCGGGTCAGTGATCTCAGTTTCTTTACTCTTATATGTTTGTAAATTGGTACATTTTTTGCTTTAAAAATGATTGAATTATGTTTTTATCTTCCGATTAAGGATTTTATGCCTTTAGTAAATCTGTGTGCAATATTTTTAGAATTATCAGCAGTTTTAAAGTTGTTTAATTGCCGCTAAGCCTGTTTTTAATATCGGCCATTGATGTTTACATTTGAAACAGGAGACTAGTGGATTTGTTGCCAATCTAGAGAAACTTAGCTTGCCAACAACAAAGATAACGCATTCATTTATTATTGCCAATTAAATCATGCTTAATTCTTTCTGGAATTTTTTCGAGGAAATAAGCGTTTGCGATTTACTTCGTAATTTTTAATATAGATATTTTGAGTTTTTACGTATTTTTGCCTTCTCGCGAAGTGAGAACTGAATTAATTCAATGAGAAATACTCAGTGAGATACATTCCTATGACCTCATCGATCACGTGTCTTATGTATAACCTTTTGTAAACAAACAATGCAGATGTCCTCAGAGATCACGTGACTTACGTACAGCTAATGCAAACAAGCAAGATCATTCTTGCTCTTCTTCTCTTGCGGAATGTATCACATTGTCTGTGAAAAACTGTTTCTGTTTTGTTTTGTTTGCTTAATTTCTTTTATACATAGTTCTAGCTTTATTATAGTATTTGAATAGAACATGTGGCAACGATTAGATAATTCTTTAAATGATATACATTTTGTGCATTCTGAGTTATAATATGAATGAAATATTATACTGTTAAGTAAACCTAGCGCCAGAGTGTCGCTATGGTAAACAAAGTGAATTTTAAAGAATGCATTTATTCTATTGTGGTTTATGCGCTTTCCGCGAAGTAGGTTTAATTCAATCTAATAAGTTTAAATAAAATGCAAGAAAAATGCGTTTAATTTAATATTCCGTACAAGGAAGTCATGTGGTGTACACATCAGATTTTTTTTTTTTTTTAATAACATGCTAACTTTTCCCTAATTTCGATTCTACGACTCAAATTATGCCTAGATATGAAATTTTTTAAAATTTGGTGCGAAATTCAAGGAGAAATTCAAAAATTTATCTTGGCTCATTTTTTTCAGTTTACATCAAGAATAATTCCCTAAGAGAACTTAATTTATAGCAACCTATTTTTAGACCAAAGGGGGCTTTGTCCCTGAAGGTCTATTGTTTCCGTTTTGCGTTGAATCACATTAATGTCCGTTTCACTTTTCAAACTGCTGCCACCGAATGTTAGAGTCCTGCATGATATTTGAAGAAATTAAATAATTAAAAATCTTCATAAATGTATGTATATTTCTCGCATTGTGATACAAAACTACGGTACCTAGAGCCGTCGAATTTTGAATGACGTAATTCTACTGCGAATATGGACATGCGGAAGTTCAAATTTGGATTTTGTTTTATTATCGATTTCATATTTTGTAAAACTTTAACGAATTTTTGATTAACAAACTCATATGTAATGAACATGTAAATTCACGTATATCTCCGGAAATTTTGAATAAAATAACCTCTGTTTTGCAGGTATGCTTACAAATACACTTACTTTAAGATGATGGTAAAAATTTTATAGGTTATAATTTAAATTTTTAAAAAAAATTATAAAAATTACGTTTAAAAATAAAAATTTTTAAAAATAAATTGTAAAAAATGTGTCAGTTTTATTTGGAATGGACCTAAATTTCGAAATGAGAGAGAAAGAATAAAAAAAGTTTAATAAATAAAGAGCTTAAATATATACCAAATTCAATTAACACGGAGGAGCTAAAGGTTTGAGAGCTAATTTTTTAAACTACTCGTGCGATTTTTCCAAAATTTCGTCATCTGCCATAATTGAAGTCGAAAAATGGGAAAAAAATTGGTATTTTATTTCAGAAAAAGGTCCGATTTTGTGTCGAAATACCTATGCTAGAGCAATGCTGAATATAAATATAATATAATATGCTGAATATAAATATAATGCTGAATATATATATATCCTAAGTCGCGCTTTGGAGACTTGAAAAACGCAATCTGAATTTAGTCAATCGGCCCAGTAGTAGGGAGGTATAGAACTGTACCCTTTTATTTATTTATTTATTTTTTCGCAGTGTACATTGAAGTAAAAATCAATTCAGAAATTTCACTTTTGAACAAAGTTGTATGATAAGAAGTAATGTATTAATCGAAGCAAGCAGCTAAATCCTACTTCAGCGGAACTCAGTTGCCTGCACATAACAATTCTGTTTTCATGATTAACACATTAAACAGTGTTTTATTCAGGTCAAAACAATTTTCCTGCGAGGCTTGGTGTGAATGCAGCTCAGTATATTGAGTATATCACATTGCTTAGGAACATTCTGTGCATGTGATATTAAATGTAAATAAAACAATTGGAAGTAGGCTAATGTACTGTAAATTATTTCTCACCGATATTAAGTGCACCAGTTGTTACAAAAGGAAAGGGTATTCTGCGGAAATAGAATTCTTTTTCATCCTCCCTCCTTGTCTAATGGCAGCCCGAGTCCAAAAAAATGTCCAAAAAATAAATTACGACAAAAGATAAAGACTTTTTTCTTTCATATTATTTTGTTTTTGAAGCCACAATGGGAAAGAAAGAATAAAAGAAAGGAAAAGGGGGAAAAAAAGAACATGGAAGGAACTCAGCGAAAGGTATGATTTATTCTAACAGTGCGTTTCATTCTATTTCCTGTCATTTTTAGTTTCTCGTCCATTTATTTATCAATTCCGCAATGAAACGTTTTCCCGTAAGAAATATATTCTATGATTTCTTGCAACCGCTTGCACTATCTAAACATTATTAATACTAGACCAAGTGTCATGAGTTTTGACATTTGATGTAAATTAAAATTATTCTTTTTTTAGCCCAAAGATGCGTTAGCCCAGAAGGTATAGCCTATACACGGTTGTATCAATTTCCAAATTGTTGCCACTAAATATTAGAGCACTGCATTATATGTAAAGAAATTAAATAATTAAGAATCTGCAGAAATGTATGTATGTTTTTCGCACTGTTAAAAACAACGATACCTAGAGCCATCCAATTTTGAATAACGTATTCCTCCACCTGAGCGCCCACCAGCGGCCGAGCGGTAAAGACGCTGAACACTGGTAGTTAGGTCTGAGGTTCGAATCCCGCGAACGGGCTGGCTGCATGGGCGTTTTCGTGGTTTTCCCCATGTGTAACGTGTAGACGAGCCAGTTTCCCTTAGAAAGTCCTCCACGAAAGGCATCCCTCCCTTTAGGCAGATAGCCCTCGTGTGCTTTGCCATAACTGAATAATCCAAATCCAATCCTCCACCTGAATATCGGCACCTGGAAGCCCGAATCTTGAATTTCGAATTTGTTTTATTATCTATTTCATTTTTTAAAACTTTAACGAATTTTCAATTAAGGAACTCAAACGATTTCAAAGCAAGCAGTAGCAACACACTGTACGGAATAAAATATTTTTATCTGCAGCGTAAGAGACTTTCTATCGGAAATTCTAAAGATATGCTGTTTTTTAATATTTTTAGCCCATATGCTCTCGAAACGTGTATGTGTGTGTGTAAATGGTAAAAAACGCCCCTTTAGACGTAACATAAAATAAGTCTTTCAGATTTTTTATTTTAATATTTTTTATAAATATTTTTTAATGATCTAAAAAAGTTTATGAAAACAAAGACTAGAATGACTGATTGTGCAAATTTCGCTAACAAATATTGTTTAAATACAATTCTACACAAGAAAATCACAAAAGCTGTGCTTTTTAGAAGGCTAATTGTCTGACCATCCGTTTATTAATGTTATTCATCAGTAAAATCAGAGGAATTCAAATTATTATATTGCAGTATGCAATGAAGTTGTAGAACTGGATTAACATATTGCTTTATATTCATAAGAAACGCATTCCAAAATTACAAAAGTAAGCGCTTTTAT